TTACTCCGCTGCCAGCCCTGACTTCTGCTTCTCGTCTGACCCTGCTTTTGGATTTCCCCTTAATCTGCACAGCACTTCTGGTTTTTGCCATCTCCTGCAACTGGGCTCCAACTCCTGGTGAACTGTTTCAGGTGGTATTCAACTTACCCACAAACCAAGACACCCTTACAGTAAAGGTGGTGGTGTATGGTTTCTACTTTCGCCTCACTCCTCCTTCAAACCTCTATCCTCCTTTCCCTCTCTTTCTAATCATTTGAAATTCATTAGATTAGCCTTTTAAAACCCATCTATGCTAACATTGCTGTTTTATATCGCCATCGCCCACCCCCCTGTCTACCTTCTCCTCCCTTGACCACTTTGCTGCCTGGCTAGCCTACTTCCTCTCCTCTAATATTCCATCCCTAATTCTTGTGGACTTCAACATTCCAATAAACCCACCCATGCTAAGTAGCCTCTAAACTACTTTCAATTACTTCTTCCCTTGGGCTATCACAGTGGGCTTATTCTCCCACCCATGTAACTGCCAAAACCCTCAACCATATTTTCTCTTATGCATGCACAGTGTATAATATCTGCAACATTTCATTTCCTCTCTCTAATCACCACCTCTTATAATTTGCTCTCAAGAAACCCCTCACCCAAAAACCTCAGCCTAACCTCCCTCAACTCAAGAGGAACTTTAATTCTATTGACCTTCAGCAACTGTCAGCTGATATTGATTCCCAACTCCTATCCATCTTTACCCTCTCCTGTCCCTCACTGGCCATCTCCACATATAACACTACTTTCACCTCTGCCCCGAACGCTGCAGCCCCACTCCAAAAATGCACTTTGAAGAGGCACATTAAATCAACATGCTACCTGCAAAGATGCTCCTGTTGTGCTGAACGCTGCTGGAGGAAGTCTCGCATCCAGTCAGCCTTTCTCCATTATAGATTCATATTGCATTCATACAGTGCAGCCCTTGACCTCGCCAAACAGTCATACTTTTCCTCTCTCAATAGTTCATGTTCCCGTAATCCCAGGTGTCTCTTTAATACATTTAACTCTCTTCTTTGCCCTGCTGTGGTCACCCCCCAAACTAACCTTATGGCTGATAGCTTTGCATGCTACTTTACCAACAATATTGAACAACTAAGGAAAGTATTCCCCCACATTGCCCCTCTCTTTCTCAGCCATACGTAAATCATGCCTTTCCTACCCTTCAGACTTTCTCCCCGGCTACTGAACAAGAGGTGGCTGCACTTTTCCTTTCCTCTTGCCCTACCACTAGACCACTTGATCCTGTCCCATCTCACCTTATCAGCTCTCTCGCCCCTTGTCTTGTGCCTTCCTTAACACAAGACAACTGCTCTCTCTCTTCTGGCGTTGTCCCTGCTAACCTTAAACATGCCACTGTAGTACCCATCCTGAAAAAAAAATCTATTGACCCATCCTCCCCTTCTATTTATAGTCCCATATCCTTGCTCCCATTTTCCTCAAAGCTTCTGGAAAGACTTGTCTTTACCCATCTGGCTGACTTCCTAATTCCAACCCTCTTCAGTCTGGCTTTCATCCTCTACACTCTACTGAGATTACTCTTATCAAAGTTACTAACAACCTAATTGCAGCAAATTCCAAAGGCCAATACTCCATATTAATTCTTCTTGACGTCTCTGCTGCCTTTGACACTGTTGATGTTTTCCTTCTTCAAACTCTTCAATCACTCTGCTTCTGTGACATGGTCCCCTCGTGGTTTTCCTACTATCTCTCCCAGCACTCATTCAGTGTTTCCATTTCTAATTATACCTCCTCCCTTCATCCTGTCTCAGTTGGAGTCCCCCAAGGCTCTTTCCTTAGTCCCCTTCTATTTTCTCTTTACACTACCTCTCTTGGCAAACTTATCACCTCATTTGGATCCCAGTATCATTTATACACTAATGACACCCAGATATATCTCTCCTCCCCAGACCTCTCCCTTGCCATCCGGCAACATGTCACTGCTTGCCTTTCTTCCATCTCTGACTGGATGTCCTCCCGTTTTCTGAAACTCAATCTCTCTAAAACTGAACTCCTTATCTTTCCTCTTCTAAATACTGATCCTCCTCTTTCGCTCTCCCTTTAAGTTAGTGGTATCCACATCAGTCCATCCTTGCAAGTGCGCTGTCTTGGTGTTATACTTGATTGTGGCCTCATATTTGAGCATCACATCCAGTCTGTTACCAAATCCTGTGGATTCCACCTTATAAACATAGCCCACATCCACCCCTTTTTTACAACAGATGCTACTAAGGACCTTGTCCATGCTCTAGTAATCTCTCTGGATTATTGTAACCCTCTCCTAGTTGGTCTTCCCAAAAGCCGTATTGCCTCGCTACAGTCTGCAATGAATACTGCCGCCATACTGATTTTCCACTCCAGTTGGTCCTCTTACACCTCACCCCTCTGTCATTCCTTACATTGGCTTCCTGTATCCAATAGGAGTCAATTCAAAGTACTAATCTATAACTATAAAGCAGTGAACAATTCTAGCCCCTCCTACATCTCTCCACTGATTCATAGGTATGCACCTTCTCAGTTTCTAAGATCTGTCCATGATCTTCTCCTGTTTGCTGCTCGCACACATACGGCTAACTCACGCTTGCAGGACTTCTCGTGGGTAGCTCGCTTCCTATGGAATAGCCTGCCTATCACCATCAGCCCCCCCTCCCCATAGTCTTAAATCTCTTAAGAAGTGCCTTAAAACCTATCTCTTCAGGTATATGTTTATTTGTTTAATTATTTCATTGCCTTAAGTAAGGGAAATACTGTGGTGATGCGCATGTACATGCTGTACAATTATCTATTATTTTTTTTATATATTTTTTTGTAATTAATGCATCATATACCAATTGTCAGCAAAGGCTTCTATAATTGTACTTAAAAAATAAAAAGAAGGAAAGTTTATGGCATCTCAGTGTAACCTCTACCTGTCCCTTGCTCTCGCCTAAAGGGCAGCACTCTACTCTCTCTCATCCAGCTCTACCTCACTCCCTTTTCTGATTGCTATCTCCTGTCCTATTGTGTTTTAAAACCTATTTCCTATAAACTGTAAACTCGTTTAAGCAGGGTCCTCTTCAACCTATCGTTCCTGCAAGGTTTTAGTAATTGTCTATTAATAATGCCAGAAAAAGTCCCCTTGTGGGTACCCTCTCACTTGAGACAGAGCCTCAAAATTAGCTCTAGTGAATAGCCTTAGAGCCTTTTGCAGGAAACATCTTCCATTTTAAGATGGTACAGGTGTATTCCTCAGAAAGCAAAGCTAATAGTGCAATTTGTTTGAAAATCAGTTGAATGATAAAGGAATAAAGATAATCCCTCACATGTTCCTAAACCTTGGATTAGGCTCTTTTCGCTTGCAGTATGCCAATGAATTCTTCAAGCGGTTTCCCCAAATTCAACTGAAAATGCAACTTATAATTACTTCTCGATTCTCAAAATTAAAACACCTGTTTTGCATACTTGTGCTGTCGTGAGGAAATAGAATACCTTACAACAGCACACATATGCAAAACTTGTGTTGTCTTAAGTACACCTAGTGCAACAATCAAGGGTTTCATTAGTTGCATCAGGTGTGCTTGAGCTGGAACACTTGAAATACATAAACAGACAAAGGGTTTATTGAGTGTCACATTTGACTACGTTAGAAATATAGGTAAGTCAAAAAAGGTCCAAAATGTTACGTAGATTACATAGCTGAAAAGAGACTTGTGTCATTTAAGTTTAGCCTTCCTCAAATTAGTTTTTTGCTGTTAATCCAAAATAAGGCAAAAAAAACCCCTGTTTGAAGCACTTCCAATTATGCAACAAACTAGGAAAAAAATCCTTTGATCCAGCACGTAGAATTGTGTTACACAGATGACTAATAGGTAACGTATTACCGGGCCTTAGAATGGCCGGACGTAACGTACCAACGAATAGTCAGGATACTTGCTGAGGTCAGGGGATACAGAAAGAGACACAACGATAAGGGAAAGCCAGAAGTCAGGGATACCAGAATACAGGGAAGTCAAAATCAAAGCCAAAGTCAAAAACCAGAAGAAACTTGAATCAGGAACGCGCTGTCGGACAACCACTAGGGAAACCACGACAGGGCACTGAGCAGGATGAGAACTGGGCCTAAATACCCCTCCTCTAGATCTGATAGGCTGTAATCGGCCTTTGACCCCAAAGGCAGTTACCAGGTTTCCATTAGCATAATTGCTGCTCAGCACAAACCCTCCTGTGGATTTGATTGCTGCTCGGCACAACTTTTCCTGTCAGAACAGTAAATGTCATTAATCACATTTTTATATGCAGATGAATACGTGACACTCAATGTGGATTTGCATACCGTGACTTCCGGTCAGTGCAAATCGCCATTTTACTTACCTTCTACACGGGGGAACACCTGGTCCTCCCCTACCTGTAGCCATTTTTCAAAGAGAGCCGTAGTCTTGGTGGTCCACTTCCGGGTCAAGGCAGTAAGGAAGCCGACCTCAGGAGAGGTTCCTGCGTGTTTTGAACGGCTTGGTTCTCGCAAACGATTTGGTTCAAACAAGCTGACAGCTGTAAGTATCATTGCTCGTCCCGCGAACGGACCCTTCAGAGCCCGCCAGCGGGTGACTGACAATCGTGAGTAAACCTTGCCTTTCGGCCCTCATGCGCTTCGTTCGACATTTACATTGTGTAACAGAGTGTTGGGGATGGTGGTCAGGGGTGTATATCTGGCACCCAGACTTTTGCACAGCCACTATCCTGACATGTGGGTAAGCACATGCAGCCCCAGGGAAAGTTAAGTTTAAATGTAGTTTTTTCCTCTGTTGTTATTTGGGTCCCTGGGGTGGAGTATTCGGAAGAGCAGGGTGGGCCGATTCTCCACCCACTGTCAGAGTGGTTGTGCATGAGTCCAGCCCAGGTTTTCCATAGAGTTCTGGCTCACTGCCTAACGAGGTCATTAGCCTCACCTGTAGGGGCTGTGAGCAGCTATATAACTGCAGTTAAAGCAGGGTGAAGTGAGGGAAGTGTTTTGGAGGAGAAAGAAGAGTGTTTTGTGGAGAAAGAAGATTTGCTGTTCATTGTATCCTGTTACTTCACAACAACAGAAAATAAACAGGCCAGAGGCCTTTTGAAACTGGACTTTGTCTTGACCTGGTTTTCTTACCCTAGAGGGCTGTGCGGTTGCCAAAAGATCCTGGACAAACACACACAGGAAAGTAAGTTTGTCACAATTGTCATACGAACGTATCACTTGTTCCAGTATCTTACCCCACTAAATACTTTACCTAATTCTCACAAACGAATGCATGGATTTAAACGTAAGTTGCATGAATACACAAACCGCAATCAGACTCTGCAACTCACATACCATTAAACATACGAACGCCCGCGTTTATAACTGTCCTTTCGATTTGTTTCAAAGTCAGCTGCGCTAATTCACTAACACTAGTACTTTAGGTACTAAATAGCTGACACAAACTGGTCATAATACACGAACCACTCAATTCTCAGGTATGTTTATGGATGTATAACATGGTTAAAGTAGATGCTAAATGGGTTTTAATTGATATAAATTTTAAATAGTTTATGGCTATTATAGTGGTATGGAGTGATGTTTTTTTTAAGTATGTATGTATTCATGCTATATTATATGTACTTGGGTCACGTTTTAAGTTTTGTCGGACTAGGGATTCTTTGCATAAATTCAGTTGTTGGTGCTTCTGCTTGTCATTACGTTGGAGTATTCTGTTACTCTTTGGACCTGTCAATTCTACACTGGTATGTTGGGGTCATACCACATGTTTAAGACGGACCACTACTGGTCAATTTTGATATTGCATAGACTATACTTGCTGTTGCCTGATATTTAAGTAATAATGAATTCAGGTTAAACAGGCGTTTGTCTGTTTATTATGTTCACGCTTTATCAGTATCCTGCATAGCGCTTATTTTTCTTCTTAGGTGACTCGATTAGGTTATTCAGGTTAATTGCTAATTCTCTTTGTTCAATCCATAGGTGAGGTTATTTACCTCCTAATTTAAGATACATGAGAGCATTGGTCTTTTAGTTATGGTGGCCAGTATTGCTATTGCATGAGTCTATATTTTAAGTTAAGCTAATATTTGGTTGAAGATAGTTTTATTCTGGTAGGTATATGCTTTGATTGTAAATCGGTTTCATGCTTTGTCAACAGATGCTGACGATACAATGGTTCGCCTAATATAAACACTATTTTGATTTCACTCAAAATTAACCCTACGCTCACCCAGTGCATTCTTATACTCATGTCACTAAGGCTCAATGCCTTAACCTATATCCTATATCTGTTCAGTAAGTTACCTGAATATTGCCTTGGTGTATATTTACATTTATTTTATTTCACCTGTTATGGGGCTTCCTTCACTGATTGCCTAAATTCTACTTTAAGTATAGTTTAGTCGCTTGACTATGTTACCAAGTATTATGTCCCTTAACAGCACTACCGTTTTATCTTAAGTCGGGTTCTATCATCAAGGAGGTCCCAGGCAGGGCCACTTATCCCATTATATCTTTAGATCTATTGATTAGGACTGCTGCCTTCACTGGTGTGGCAGAACAGACCTCGCCACGTGTTCTTGGAGGGGGCTGCTTGCCCATACCTTTCCACATACCTTTTTAAGTGTGTGTGTGTGTGTGTGTATGTGTTTGTATGTGTGTGTATGTGTGTATATCTCTCTATATCTCTCTATATCTCTCTATATCTCTCTATATCTCTCTCAAAATACAGTTAGAATAAAATTACCTATGCTTTCACATACTCTTATGCATATGTTTATATATATGACTGTACATTTATATTTGTGTACATGTGTTTATACAAAAAGATATGGAAGGGCTGCGCCAAATAAGGGTAGATAGTCCAGTAAAGTATTGCTAGGGTGCCAATAGATGGTCTAGGATACTTGATAGAGTTCCTCTGTGGATGCGTCTGGTGTAGACCGTTCCGTATATGTAAATACAAGAGAGGTAGAGGCGACTAATGGTATAGTATGAAAGTTCAGGGTGTGATAGGTAACAAAAAGTAAAGAACTCACATTCAGGAGAGCTATGGCCAGCTCTGGTGTGGATTGCGTACAGCGGTATAATCCCCGCTTATGGGATATGTAGGGAGGGGTCTCCGTCAGCACCGTCTGGTAGTCCAGAGCTCGAAAAAGAAAGACAGAAAGCAACAATAGTGCTCTCAATTTTGATGTGGTTCAATGTGCAGATAAGAAGAGGTAAAAAACTCACATTTGAGGGAGCTATGGCCAGCTCTGGTGTGGATAGCGTACAGCGGTATAATCCCCGCTTATAGGATATGTAGCGGCGATACGTCCGTCAGCACCGTCTGGTGATCCAAGGCTCCAATATAGAAGAATAAAAAGCAGCAATAGTGCTCTCAATTGTGATAGGTTAAGAGAGTAGTAGAGAAAATAAAATAATACTCACAAAGATAGAGCAGAGGTACTGCTCTATGGATAGGCGCCGGTGGTATGATCCCCACCTAGGATTTCTTGGAGTACTGGAACTTTAAAATTGCCAATGGAAGTAAAAGTAACCAGGAAAGGTTAAAATGCCAGGAATAGGTAAAAACAAAAGTTGTTTAAAGTGCATAAAGAGTGCAATAAAAAGAGGATTGGTACAATAAAGTAGCCAAAAAACTTTTATTGATCTAAAATACACAGTAAAATACAGAATTAATAACCATAAACGCGTTTCACCATAAGTGGCTTCTTCAGAATGGGATAAAAGTAGTAACCTGGCAGGGGTTGTTTAAATAGGGCTATGTTAATTTGAAAATTGCGCCAAAAGTGTAATTGGCCAATCAGAGACAATTTTTAAAATCACTTTTCAAAATTAGGATTCAAGAGTATGGGAGTGATGTTATAAAGGTGATGAGTCCATTTAAATTATTTAAATGTGAAAACTAGAGTGAGAAAGTTGTTTTTAAAGAGAAAGAAAGGAAGAAAAAAAAAGTTGTTTGATTAAAGTTCAAAAAAAAAAAAGTTTGATTAAAGTTCATTAAAAGAACAAAAAAAAAGGGTTTGATTAAAGTTCATTAAAAGAACAAAAAAAAAAGGGTTTGATTAAAGTTCATTAAAAGAACAAAAAAAAAATAGATGGTTTAAAGGTACAGAGATACAGAGATATATGTAAATGGAGTATGCATGAAAAGGGGGTAATATAATTCCAAACATAATGATTTAAATAGGGGTTATATTATACCCCAGAGTAATAATACAGATGTTAAATGAAAATAATAGATAAAATAAAAATAAAATTAAATAAAAGATTACACAGAATACAAGATACATAAATGGAAAGGCATAGATGAAAAAATAAAACTTAAAAGATTATTATTATTATGAGGGTTGGTTAGGTCCAGACATAAAGAATAAAAGCATGTAGATAAGGGTTGTATATAGGAATTTAAATAAAATTAAACAGGTCAAAATCAACATTTAAACCAGATGGGGTAAGAGTTTTGAGATTAAAAACCCATTCCATCTCAGCTTTACCTAATATGTTCTTAATGTTACCACCTCTCCATGGTATTATACATTTTTTTATGCCGATGCATTTAAGGTGTCTTATGTCGTTATTATGTGTACAAAAGTGTTTGGAGACTGAGTGATTCAGGTAGCCTTTTTTGATATTTCTACAGTGTTCACTCAGTCTCACTTTAAGACTTCTTGTGGTCATCCCTACATACTGGAGACCACAAGGGCACTCCAACAAGTAGATGACATTTTTGGTATCGCAACTGATAAAATCTTTAATTTTATAGGTTTTGTTGGTGATATTAGATTTAAAACTGGTGGTTTTGGAAGGGACGGAGGGGTCTGTGTTTTTGCATACAATGCATCTTTTACATTTATAAAAGCCACTGGCATTGGGCATAAAAGAATTAAAAGTAGGTTTGGTTTCTTTTGTAAAATTGGTGGTTAAAATGGATTTGAAGTTTGGGGCACCTCTAAAGACAACATTAGGCTTGTCAGGTATAATATTTTTAAGTATTTCGTCTTCTTTTAAGAGGTGCCAATGTTTTTTGATAATTTTTTTGACATGGCCACTTTTGTTATTAAAATTGAAAATAACAGGAAGGGGCATGGTGTTGGTGGTGGGTTGGGTATTGTAAGTTAGGAGGTCTGCTCTATCTTTTTTGGTGATGGTATTTATAGTGGTGTTGAGGCGGGTTGGTGAGTAATTTTTCTCAATAAATTTTTCTTTTAGATAATTTGATTGTTTGTTAAAATCTTCTATTTGGGAGCAATTCCTTCTGAGACGAAGGAATTGGCTTTGAGGGGCACTTTCCAACCAAGGTTTGTAATGGCAGCTAGATCTTTCGATAGCTGTGTTGACGCAGACTTTTAAAAAAAAAATGTTTTGGTGTGGATGGTATTGTCTGTAATGAAGATGTTGAGGTCTAAAAAATTAATAGATTCCTTACTTGTTTCATGGGTTAGGGTAATGCCTCTATTGTTGATGTTGAGGTGGTGGATAAAAGAGTTAAAAAGAGCTTCTGTGCCATCCCAGATAAAAAACAAATCATCTATATATCTAAAATATGTTACAAGGTTCGTACACCAAGCGTGCCTTCCCCATATGGCCGTGGATTCCCAGTCGGCCATAAAGAGGTTGGCATAGCTTGGCGCGAACCTTGTACCCATCGCATTGCCTTGTTTTTGTAGGTAAAAGGAGTCAAAAAACCAAAAATAGTTGTTGGTTAAAATGATATTAATACCTTCTAAAATAAAATCTATTTGGGCAGGGGGGATTCTGTTTTCTTTAGTTAAAATTTCTCTGATTGCCTGGCATCCTATATGGTGGGGTATAATAGTGTATAGGGATTGGACATCACAAGTAGCTAAAATGTAATTAGTTTGCCATTTGAATTTGTCTAAAAAACGTAGTAGTGACATAGAGTCTTTTAGGTAAGAGCGCATTAATTTAACGGATGGTTGGAGGAGTATGTCAATGTATTCTGACAGATTGCAGAGTAGGGAATTTATCCCTGACACGATGGGTCTGCCAGGGGGGTTATTAATATTTTTATGTATCTTTGGTAAAAAGTATATGACAGGGAGTTTAGGGTATTTGATGTTAAGATAGTTGTATTCGTTTTTGGTTAGGATGCCAGAATCCAAGCCTTTTTGTAAAAAAGTGGATAGGGTGATTTGGATGGTAGGGGTGGG